AATCGAATCTCTTCAGGCTGCCGTCGACGACCTCACAAGGCGCGTGGCGGCATTGGAAACGAAAAATCCCACATCCAGACCTTCACCAGTGGCATCCGGAACAGCACCTAGCATGACTTCAACGTTTGGTGCGAAATTGCAGGAATTGGAACGTGACATTGCTATTCTGCGGTAAACCGGAGCATCCACAGCAACTGGACAATCTACTACAACGACTCTCGTGATTGGGGGCCTACCGCATGACACCCTCTCTGAAGCCGAACGTTGGGTTGCAGAAGTACTTTCGGAATCAAGTTGTGGATTACCCCTGAAATGTTACAAGAAGGGACCTACTGCAGAACAGTTCAAAGGCACGATTTTTTCAGAGTTCAAATATCAACAATCATCCGAAAAATCTCTCCCAATCCTCCAAGCAGCATGCGGCATGCAGACGCCAAAGAGAACCGCCGCGTCTGGTGCAACACAAACGCCCCCATCGAACAAAGAACTGCTACATCGCTCTTGCTGGGCATCCGTTATATCCTGACGCAGTGGGGCTTCGAGAAGAAATTCCTGAAGGTCGACGGGGACGCAGGATTACTGAAAACTGGAGGGAAACCCATATTGAACGTATCAGTGGTAAATAACAAACTCAATATGGAATGGCTGGATACAGCTTGGGAGACCTGGGACGAACTATACAACGATCCTGCCTTCCAAAAGCTGAAAAGTAAGGCTACGGAGAGATTGGAAAGGAGCGCGGCTGGCTCGTCCAAAGGGGTGGGCAAAGGCAAAGCAACTCATTGACGGTGCCGGGAGCGCAGGGCTGTTTCACCTTCCCGGACCGCTGACCCCAGAAACGCAGCAAAATCGATGTATTCCAGTACGGGCATAGTGGGCAAAGACACCAGCTACCCTTCTGGACCTTCGTTGGGACGTCATTGCGAAGGCCATCTTGGTCTACGCTGTGCTACTTGGAACGTTTGCGGCTTGACCGAACAGAAAATGATGGAAATTACACGCTACATGGAAGAATATGGGATACACATTTGATGCCTACAGGAAACACGGGCGACAACCGCAGAGGACTACGAACACGAGAAAAGCGGATATCGTGTGATCCTCTCGGGTGCAGATGCGGATGCACCATCTTGGGCGGGAATTGGGTTTATCATATCTTCGAGCCACGTGCCGTACATACGATCGTATAAACAAATTTCCGACAGAATTTGCCAACTAAAAATGAAGTTGGGACATCGCGTGTTCGGGTTCTTTGCCGTGTACGCCCCCCACAACCTGAAGCCTCTCCCAGAAAGGCGTTCGTTCTGGAGAGTTCTTGACGCAGATTCCAGGCATGTTCGGCGACAGGCGGGAAGGTCATCATGGGGGACGTGAACGCACGCATCGGGCACGCAGACGCTGGGGAAGCAGCTGCTATCGGGCCGCTCACGTGGGGTAGGCGGGCGCTACACCAAGTCGAAGCTCCGAACAGAGACTTGCTACTTGAATTTGTTTCGGCCTCGACCTGCTACTTGCAAATACTTATGTTGACAGGCAGCTGGAACAGACCATTACGTACAGGGAAGCTGGGGCGGAACGAATGGGGAACATCACTGAAGAGAAGTACAAGGTTTTGCATTATGTCGTATGTGATGCTGTCACTTTGGATCGAATGCGGTATATCAAAACACATCGCCACGCAGCTCTTGCCACATATCACTAATTGGTGACGTGCGACATCATTCATTCAGGCTCTGCGACCACACTTTCGCGCAAGGGAGCGATAGACAAAGATATGCTCAGAGATCCTGAAGTGCAGTCGAGATTTGCCGAAACACTTTTGGACGAACTATATGGTATGACCATCGCTGGGGACGTGGATGCTCTATGGGAGCAGGGGGCGAATGCAGCTCTGGTGGTTGCGACCGTGCTTCCACGGCGTCAAGAAGAAACGAAACAACCCTGAGTATCTCAACGCACACTGGAGCGAATACGGCAAAGACAACATGCCCGCAGCAACAACGATCGACCAGAAGAGCGCCGTCCCCTTAAACAAGTAAAGATATCGTGTAAATATGACAAAACGACATGGGTGGATTCGAACATCGTTTCCGGCAGGTGGGACAATATACGCGCGTTCTGCCGTCCACGGCAGCGCAAGCAAGGCAGGCTTCAAAATGGGTATGGGAAGTTAGTGGAGAGCACAGAACGTGCTAATACTATGGCCGATTGTTTGGAACAAGTGCAGTGGAGAGCACGACCAGCAAACTTGGTTGAAAGCGCGTCTTTAGGGCCGCGCCTCCCGGTCGCGGAGTCCGCCTTCACAGTGCGGGAAGTGCGAAAATCAGAAAAAAATCAAATGGGGAAAAGCGGCCGGACCTGATGACATACCTGCGGGATACTGGAAATCGGCGTCACAAACGCCAGGTGGACTACATGGACAACAGAACTACGCAATGCAACTTGGGATGAACAAAAAGTACCGAACGCATGGAGGCACGCCAAAGTAAGTACGATATACCAGAACAAGAGGCCGATACACTTATGCGAAAACTACCGTCCAATCAGCCTCTTGCGCGTGGCATGCAAGCTATTGGCCAGCCTCCTTCTTCAACGACTTCAACAAGCAGGTGCAGAAGACCGGCTGTCGCAAACACAATGCGGCTTTCGCAGAGGGCGAGGCACCACTGATGCCATTCATGCAGTGCGACGTCATATCGACCTGGCGCACGCCAGGAAAGAGGGTGGCACTACCTTCGTCGCCCTTGACTGGAAAAAAACATGTGACTCCATACACGTTGACGCCTTGCTGTCAGCACTGCGTCGGCTCGGGGTGCCCCCGCACATGCTGAACATGATGGGGAATATTTACAATGCGCGGCGGTTTTACGTGGCAGACTGTGCAAACAAATCCTCGGAGAGACAGCAAGTGTCTGGAATCTCCCAGGGATGCCCACTATTACCACTTCAATTTGCTATGTTGATGACAGTTTTGATGCGAGATGCCGTGGGCAATCTGGGAGACAAAGCGCAAATGGAGATATCTTTGGGGAATCGATCAGTCTTGCTCTACGCAGACGACACGCTGCTCATCGGGAGGGACCAAGACAGCCTTCAACAACTACCGGATAACATTGCTCTGGCAGGGGCCCAAGTAGGAATGGAACTCCATTGGGATAAGTTCCAAATGATGAAGATACGAAGCGACGTACAATTGCACACACCGGCAGGGCAACTCATTCCAGAAAAGCACAGCTTGACATTTTTGGGTGCTACTTTATACATCACGGGGCAAATGAGTACCGAGCTAAATCGGCGAATCGGGGCCGCATGGGCCGAATTTTGCAAATATGAAAGGGCATGGAAACATACCGCTATCACTGTGCCCCGGAAGTTGGAACTATTTCAAGCACTGGTAACATCCAGACTGATGTATTCTTTGAATACGGCGTGGTTGAACAAAGCTGCACGGAGGAGACTCGACGGATTTCACGCCAGATGCTTGAGGAAGGTGCTGCACATCCCCCCGGCCTTTCTTACGCACATTTCAAACAAGGATGTACTACAACGTGCAGGGCAACAGCCATACACAGCGCAGTCATTGAGGCATCAGCTGACATTGTTCGGGAAAGTTGGCAGCGCTTCTAACCAAGATGTTCTGAGACAGCTTACTTTTCAAGATGGTCCGATCCGCTCGGCCACAGCGTCGCTCAAGCGGAGGCGGGGTAGACCGATGAATGCATGGGCATCGTGCCTGCGCAACTGCATTTCGGGTGCGTTCGCATCAGACGAGCACGTCATGGAGTACGTGCGGGACCCCACCAACAGGGAAGTCTTCGTACGACGTTTCACTGAGAGTTTGGGGCCGGACCCAGAACAGGCTTTCTAGTCCGTGCGCTCTGGCACCGTCGAGCCAGGAGCTTATGCATACTAGCCGTCCCTCCTTTTTCGCTCCTCCTACCTCCCCTCCTGCTGCTGCTGCTGCTGATCCTCCTCCTCCAATCGCGCACGCTGTGCATTATGAGACAGCCGGCGTGCAGTCGCTCCCGCAATGCGGCGAGTTCAGGCTGGCATTGTCTTTTGCCCACGCGCTCTGGCGTATGGCAGTCCGTTCGTTCGTTCGAGTCTCAAACGAAACGGCTCCAATACCAGCTGCCAGACCAACGTCCTCGGGCTCCCCGACCCCCATGTGGGACTCTTCTGCGGGCCTCCTTTACCTCTATGAGAGACCTCCTTAGCAAAATGCGACCAAGGAAATGCAATGCGATGCACATGCGCTGATGCACCGTCTCGGGACTCCCCCAAAAGATGGCACTGCTGCCAACCCCAGGACCTCTCCCATGGCACGGCCCCACCGGGACTCCGAGGTGGTTCCCGGCGCGGCGACGGGACCCGCGGGATGCTCCTCTCCCCCGAAGACCTCTGAGAGCAGGCGGGCCCAGAGAACTTGCAGGGCGCCGCGGCCGCTCGCGACTGCCGTCTCAGGGGCTCTGCCAGGCGGGGCGGGTGAAAAGGAGGAAGAGGAAGGAGAGAGGGAGGAGGGGGGAGGAGCAGGAAGAGGGAGGAGGGGGGGGGTGAACGAGGGACCAGGAGGAAGGGAAGTGGAAGGGGCGGTGGGGGGGAAACCGGAAGGAGAAAGGGAGGAGAGGGGGATGCGGGGAACAGCAGCAGCAGGAGGGAGAGCCACCCTGCCCGGCCGACCACCGCGCCGGACCACCGCGACACTGGGGTTCAGGCCCCAACAGTCCCCCTGCGGTCACCTCAAGGGACCTCCATGCCAGGCCATATGGGGACTTCTGGGAAGCCGAGCGAACTACACGCCTCGCGCCGCGCGAGGCGAGAGGCGCGGTCACCTCCACGCCCTCGCGCCCTCTTGGGGGAAGGTCTCCCTGGCCTAGCCCGCGAAACGCGACCAACCTCGCGTTCCCACAGGTGACCTAGATAATGGACGGGTATCCGCGGGGGGTATCCAACGTTTCCCCGCGCGACGGGCCATGTTCGCGAAATGCTAAGAGGCCCGCCGAAGAAGAACATGACGGAGAGCAAGATGGACGCGACCTCACGGAAGGGGACAGGACAGGTGCTGAGGGAAGAGGGGAGGATGAGAAGGAACATGTGAAGACGAAGAAGAAGAGGGGTACCACGTCGAAGGAGGTGGAAATAGAAGGGGAGAGCGCATTATAATAGCGAAAGACCCGACCATCTACAGTTTTGGATGCCGTGTTGTGGGTCATTGTTTCGACAGGTCTTCATATGGGGCCACCAACTCATGATGGAATGGTTCCTCTCGGCACACATCCACGCCCTGCAGGTTCCCTCTCGGGGCCGGCAGGTTCACTCTCCCGTCCTCCCCCTCCCCTTGTTTTTCGCCAAGCTGAGGCAGGCTGCCCTGGCCCAAGAGAATGCCCTCGAGCCCATCAGCAAGGACATCATAGGCTCCATCATCCAGCACCTGAAGAGCAATGCTGGCCCAGGAGCGGACTGGTGGAGGGCTCCAGAGCTCAAGGCCATGGGCACCCAGGGGCTGGAAGATTTCGTGCAGTGCCTGACCAGCTGTGAGCAACGGGCAGCTTGGCCGTGGCAATTCTACCTGGTGCTGGAGCTGCTGCTGGGTAAGAAGCCAGGAATCGGTGGAGAGCGCCCCATCGGCCTCATGCCCATGCCGTACCGCATCTGGAGCGCAGCCAGGAGGCCCATAGTAGCCACCTGGAGCAAGGCAGCGGCGGGCTTCTGGGATACGGCAGTAGCTGGCTCCTCAGCGCTACGAGTGGCAATGCACAGACTGACGAGGGCAGAAGCCGCCACGGAGATGGGCTTTCATGCAGCAGGAGTGTTCTACGACGCAGCAAACTTCTACGACAACATAGGCCTCGACCAGCTGATCGAGAAGGCCAGTGCCCTCCAGTACCCGTTGCTGCCGCTGGCAATGGCCGTGCAGATGTACCTTGCGCCCAGGGCCATCATGGCCCACAGCCTCTTCTCGGACATCTTTGAGCCTGCCAACAGCATGGTAGCAGGCTGTGGCCAAGCGGTAGACCTCACCAGACCGCTCTTGTATGGAATCCTGGATGCAGCGCACAGGCACCACATCTTTGTCGTCATGCAGCAGTACCTGGACGACTTGGCCCTGCAGGTAGAGGGCGCGCGGCGGCAGGTCATTGACCAGATCAAGCACGTGGCGGCGCTGGTGCACGATGGTTTCAAGCAGCTCGCGATCCCCATCTCTGCCAAGACGGCAGTGGTGGCCTCGGACAAGGACCTCCAGGCAGAAGTCGCCAGCATCCTGGACAGCCTGGGCACCCCCAACAAGCAACCAGGGGTAGTGCGCGACCTCGGCGTGGACACCAGCCTTGGAAAGCAGCTGCGGCGATCCACCCATGCCGCGCGCCAGGCCAAGGCCAAGCAGAGGGTGGCCAAGCTCAGGGACCTAGCGAAGACGGACGCCAGAGGCGCGGCAAAGGTCTATTCAGCAGGTGCCTACTGTCAGCAGGCTTGGGACTTACCAGCGCACGGCATCACGCCCACGGAGGCGAAGTTGGTCAGGGCAACGGAGGCAGCGCTCCTCACAGGCGGACACAAGGCTGGACGCTGCACGTCCACCATCCTCCTGATCCAGAGGGGTATGCAAGAGGCAGTAACCCGAGCCATCGGCGACCAGATCAAGCAGTTCTGGCTCACCGTAGTCGACCACCCGACGGAGCTCAAGAGGTACCAGAGGGGCTGGCTCCTGCTCTACGCCAAGCTGGGCGCCCTGGAACCCAACCGCAGGTGGCAGCAGGTCAAGGGGCCTATGGCAGGGGTCATTGTGCAGTTGCTTGGGTTAGGCTGGTAACCGCGACGCCTGGACAGCTGGATCAGCCCAGCAGGTGACGAGTGGGCCTACAAGCCAGATGACATTCCCCACTTCGGCGCGCTCCTGCATGAGGTCCAGCAGAGCGCGCAGCAGCAGCTCTGGCAGCAGGCAGCTGGCCACCGCAGTGGAGAAGGACTTCAGGCTGGAGGCGACCTCTATCAGCTGCAGCGCCACCTGAGAAGAAGGAGGCGTAAAGGACAGCATGCAGAGGCAGCCATGCTGGAGACCATAGCGGTGGCGGGCATCTGGACCAGGGAGCGTCGCAGGGCGGCCAACCTCAACCAGGAAGGCGATGACACCTGCGCGAGATGCGGCGAGGCGATAGAGACAGAGGAACACCGCTACTACGCATGCCCTGCCAACGCAGAGACAGGGCACAGCAGCGACACCGACCTGGCGAAGAAGGCGAAGGACGCGCTGGACCAGCGGCAGGACCTGCATTTCTGGCTCCGAGGCATCCCGCCAGCGGCCTGGGCAGCCAAGGTCGACCCAGACGAGGACGCGGCGAAGGCGGCGCAGATCTTCTGCACCAGCGAAGAGGCTCAAGCTGCAGCCCAGTCAGGGCGCAAGGTGCGAGCAGACTATGTTTTTACGGACGGCTCAGGTGGTGCAGGGGAAACGGCCAGGGACCCCCGCATCAGACGCTGCGGCTGGGCAGTGGTGGCATTCAGGTTCGACGAACAAGGACGTCCGCAGGAAGTGGCTGCCTGGTACGGCACAATCAGGGCACCGCACACGGTGCCACGGGCAGAGCTCACCGCCATGAGCAAAGCCATCGGGCACACCACGGCGGCGACAGCCAGGGGGCTCAACATAGTCAGCGATTGAAATACGCCCTGGACGCACTCAAGCAGATCCAGGACCCTGAGGATCTGGACTACAGGAGCACGAACTACGACCTCTGGCCCCAGACGAAGCAGCAGCTGCAGAACAGCACGGACACAATCATGGGCCACCACATCCCGAGCCACCTGATTGAGCACCCAACCGAGCTGGAGAGGTGGAATGGTCCCACCTGGTGGGTCATAGGAAACGAGATGGCAGATAAGTACGCAGGCTGGGGGGCGGAGCACGGAGCACTGGATCCAGCCATCATCGTGCAGCAACAGATTAGAGACCAGATCACCATGGCGGTGCAGAACCGGCTGCTGGCCATCAACATGGCGGTGACGGTGGAGGACCCCAACAAGGCCCCTCAGCGTCCCAAGGCCAAGCGGCGAAAGCCGCAGACGGCGAGGGACAGGGCAGCCCAGCAGGGACACGACCTGCGAAAGCTACATCCGCGATGGTGGTGTGCAACGTGTCGCAGTGGCCCAGCAAAAGGACAAAGCATCAGAGACTGGTTGGCAGAGACGGGAAAATGCCTCGCGAAGTACGGCGGCCACCAGGACCAGCACGGCAACGTCAGGCTCGACTTCAAGGCGGTGCAGATCGGCACGCAGGTGGTGCACGTCTCCCACAAGACGCAGTTCACCCATGGCTGGCTCTGGTGCGAGAAATGTGGCGGCACCAGCTACCTTGGGGACCACCAGAGCAGGATCGTGGCAGGAGTGGCAAGGAAGCTGGCAAGGCCATGTCAGCCCCCAACAGCAGCAGGGCGGCGGGTCTTGGAGGACATGCAGAGGGGCAAGCTGCCAAGAGGAGCAAAGCCAGCAGCAGACCCAGCTGATGAGGGTCTCGACGGGATCACCATGCCAGGTGACTTCAAGCTCGGCCTGAGTAACCACGAGGTGATCGATCTGGACGGGGACAGCTCAGAAGCAGGGGGCCCGCAGCCAGCTCCGCAGCAGCCACCCAGCCATCCGCACTCTGTCGTCCACGCCAGCTTGAGGCTCGTCGACCACATGGAGGGCTACGCGGAGCAGTGGATGAACATGGTCGACCAAGAGGTCTGGGACGATATGGACGACTGGATGGAGCACTGCGTACCGTACCTCCTGGCCATCACCAATGTGGGTGGCAGAACGGACACGCAAGAGCAGACCAGGGCCGTCACCGCGCAGGAGATCCAGCAGATAAAGGACTTCTGCGAAGAAGTCTGGCGCAACACGCACCGCACGCGACGGAGGCTCATGACCAGGATGCTTACCCTCCCGTACGGTACAAGGCAGCAGGCAGCTAGAGTGCACATGGACGCCTTCCACAACAGAAGGAACAACATCCTAGCGCACAGCATCCCCAGTAGTGAGCGCAGGCCGCTGCCGAGAACAGCGGAGGCCAGCCGAGAGTGGTCACCAGAGAACCTGGACGATGATGACTCGACCCCAGACAGTGAAGCCCCAGAGCTGGAGGGTGAGCCGAGCAGCCAGGAGATGGAGACCATGGCGGGACCTGATCAGAGGCACGACGCCAACAGCCTGATGCAGACGGCAGTGCAGGTGGCAGTAACGCTGACCAAGCCAGCGGGGCCCGACCTGATGAAGTTCGTGAGCGAAGCCGACGAGGCCGGCCTGCTCCACCCAAGGCTTCGACACAACAAAGGAGAAGCTGACCAGGACCCCGAGCAGGAGGTGGCGTGGCTCGAGAGGAACAGGCTCGAGCAGCTCACGCAGTCGCTGGCAGGCTGTTGGAGCCAGAAAGAGGGCGAGCAGGGCTGGCCATCGTGGCAGGCCGCGTGCGTGCCCCATGTGCTGAGGGCGCTGCAGACTGGCGTCTACCAGAGGCTTTTCAGCCACGTGTCAGGGACGAACCGCCAGCGCAGCCAGCGCCGAGCGGCGGGGGAGATCTGCCGCCTGGCATGGCTCAACAGCGGAGAGGAGCGCAGACAGATCCAGCAGCAGGACCCGAAGGAGGCAGAGCGGCGCAGAGCTACGGCTGAGCAGATCCTGGGCGTGACTGAGCCAGAGGTGAGGAGCCGCAGCCCGCGACCGCAAGCAGCAGGGCGAGTGCAAAGCAGGGCTCCAGCCAGACAGCCGAGGAGGCCCCTGTGCGGAGAGGGGACAGGCCACCATGGACCCCTGCGCGGCGAGGGGTTAGGCCGAGGAGGACCCCAGCGTGGCGAGGGGTTAGGCCACAGCCCTGCGCCAGACGGGATGCAGAGGGGTGCCCGTCCCCCACCAGCAGGACGCAGCACCAAGGACATGGCAGACCTCGACCACGTCCCTGAAGAGGAGAACAGAGAGGATAGCCCCCAGCAGGCCGTAGACAAGCAAAGCAGCGATGACAACCTCCAGCAGTTCCCAGATGTACAGCACAGCATAGGGTACCACCTGGCAGACCGCGGAGGACCCCAGCGCGGCGAGGGGTTAGGCCACGGAGGACCCCAGCGCGGTGAGGGGTTAGACCGCAGAACCAAAGACAAGCAGAGGATCGAGGCGGAGGTCCCTGATGAGCCCAGTGAGCATGACGCGGACGTCTTGACCAACAGTGTGGTAGACAGGACCTCGCAACTAACAGAGCGGACCCATACCCTGGGAAACCGACAGACTGAACGCGAGGGGGAGGGCTTGGCCCGCGGATACCACGTGAACCGCGAACACAGCGAGTGGCATAGTCGGGGGACCTCGCCTGAGCCAGTGGGCAGCAGTACCGAGGACGGGGACAGTGCGAGACTCGGCGCTCCCCTGCGCGGCGAGGGGTTAGGCCACAAAACAGCGCAGCCTGAGAAGGCGGCAGACTACGACGACACAGACCTGCAGCGGGACTTGAATCAGATCGTCGGCGACCCTCCCCAGCGCGGTGAGGGGGTAGACCGCAAGGCACCCCTGCGTGGCGAGGGGTTAGGCCACGGAAATCCCCTGCGCGGTGAGGGGGTAGACCGCAGGACCAAAGGCAAGCAGAGGCTTGAGGCGGAAGCCTATGACGTGCCCAGTGAGCATAACGCGGACCCTTTGACCAACAGTGTGGTAGACAGGACCTCGCAACTAACAGAGCGGACCCAAACCCTGGGAAACCGACAGACTGAACGCGAGGGGGAGGGCACGGCCCGCGGATACCACGTGAACCGCGAACACAGCGAGTGGCAAAGTCGTGGGGCCCCGCCCGAGCCAGGGGGCAGCAGCACCGAGGACGGGGACAGTGCGAGACGCGGCGTACCCCCGCGCGGTGAGGGGTTAGACCGCAGCAGGCCCCAGCGTGGCGAGGGGTTAGGCCACGGAGTACCCCAGCGCGGTGAGGGGTTAGACCGCAACGATCCCCAGCGTGGCGAGGGGTTAGGCCACGGAGGACCCCATAGTGGAGGGGGGTCAGACAGCAGCAGGCCCCTGCGTGGCGAGGGGTTAGGCCACATGGGACCCCAGCGCGGTGAGGGGTTAGACCGCAACAGGCCCATGCGCGGCGAGGGGTTAGGCCACGTAGCACCCCAGCGCGGTGAGGGGTTAGACCGCAGCAGCCCCCAGCGTGGCGAGGGGTTAGGCCACGATTTTCCCCAGCGCGGTGAGGGGTTAGACCGCATCGACCCCCAGTGTGGCGAGGGGTCAGGCCACGACGGACCCCAGCGCGGTGAGGGGTTAGACCGCAACAGACCCCTGCGTGGCGAGGGGTTAGGCCACCACGGAGCACCCCAGCGCGGTGAGGGGTTAGACCGCAACAGGCCCCTGCGCGGCGAGGGGTTAGGCCACGGAGCACCCCAGCGCGGTGAGGGGTTAGACCGCAGCAGCCCCCAGTGTGGCGAGGGGTTAGGCCACGAGTTTCCCCAGCGCGGTGAGGGGTTAGACCGCACCGACCCCCAGCGTGGCGAGGGGTTAGGCCACGGAGGACCCCTGCGCGGCGAGGGGTTAGGCCGCAACGCGCCCCAGCGTGGCGAGGGGTTAGGCCACAGCTCTGCGCCAGGCAGGGCGGTCGTGAAGGCCCATGAGTCCAGGGACCAGCAGCCAGGGCGGTCCCTGGAAGAGCGCAGAGCGGAGGAGCGGCTGCGGCCGTCCATCAGGCTGCTCCTCAAGCTCTGAGTGGGCGGCGGCAGCAATTCTTCAGACTGCCGCTGCTCACGGGGCGACTCCATGAGTAACAGAGTGGCGGCAGTAAGACGCCGTGAGATGAGGCCGCTGGCCCACCCCGCCTCGGGCCGTTCTGCCTGCGCGGAGTGCCGAGACCAGGGGCACCCACTCACGGGCGGGAACACGCGGGTTTAAAAAACTCCTCCTCCTCCTGCTCATCCTCCTCCTGCTCCTCCTCCTCCGTCTCCTCCTCCTACTCGTCCTCCTCCTCCTCCTCCTCCTCCAACTCCTCCTCCTGTATGCCGTGGAGCTCACTATAGGGCCACGATGCTCGAGAGGGGTGTACTGAAATGGATGCAGCGCCGCCATGCAACTCTGCCACTGGAGCCTGCTGTGCAGCTCCCTACGGGGCCACGATCCTCGTGAGGGGCTACCAAACTGGATGCGGCACTGGATCCTGGATCCTTCTGGATCCTGCCACTGGATCCTCCTGTGCAGCTCCCCTAGGGAGCCACGATCCTCGTGACGGGTGTACCGAAATGGATGGTGCGCCGCCTTGCACCCCTTGCCACTGGAGCCTTCTGTGCAGCTCCCCTGGGGAGCCACGATCCTCGTGAGGGGTGTACCGAAATCGGTGCGGCGCCGCCACGCAATTTGTGGCAATCCCTGCCACTGGAGCCTTCTGTGCAGCTCCCCAAGGGGCCACCATCCTTGTGAGACGTGTACCGACATGAGTGCGGCGCCGCCATCCCCCTGCCATTCGAGCCTTGAGGAATGTACCGACATGGGTGAGGCGCCGCCATGCAAGCCTTGCAACTGGAGCCTTCTGTGGAGCTCCCTACGGGGCCACTATCCTTTTGAGGGGTGTATCGAAATGAGTGCGGCGCCGCCATGCAAACCCTTGCCACTGGATCCTCCTGTGGAGCGCCATACGGTGCTACGATCACCGCAAGGGGTGTACGCTGTTCAAGCCTGCAAACTCCAGGAAGCCACGAGGCCGCCGGCCCCATCCCGGAGGCGAACAGGTGAGTTGCATCGCCCGAGCCCCCCACGCTGGCCTCATGCATTCATTCGTCCGTGGGGAGTTGTCCCCGTCCTCCCCGCTCACTGTCACCCTCCACGTCTCCTGAACCTCACGACTCCTTGCCCTCGCCCTCACCCTCGCCTTCCCCACGCCTCCCCACTCTGCTGATCTCGTCCTCTTGGCCTCATCCCTCCATCTTTGCTTACCCATACTTTTCCCGTCTTCTCCCCCGACCGTCACTCCTTCCTGACCTCCCCGCCCGCCGCATCGCCTTCATGTCGGGCAGGCGCAGCGAGCGCTGGATCCAGCACAGGAAGCCCGTGCCGATCACGTCCTGGGCCGAGCAGAAGCCTGCCCGACCAGCACGGAGGCCGTCAGCTGTCCACCTGGCCGATCCTGGCCTGGCCGATGCCAGCGGCCCAGGATGGGCCCAGCCCGAATCGGTGACATGGGTTGCCGACGTCCCCCGACGAGCGCGCACATGGCTGAGGCAGAAGAACGGGTCACACAGCTTCGCGCCTCTGGGCAGCCACGTTTGCATGTCAAATGTCTGAAAAACTGGCAGGGGGCGGACATTGAGGAGGGGTGGTCTGATACCCCAGCGCCGATTGGACTCGCAGAGGTACGGTTCGCTAGTGGGCGCAAAGCTCCGCAAAGCGCGGTTGTCTTCGCCCTCCCGCACGGCCCCCCGGAAAGGGGCACCTCTCAGGCCTGGACTGCGAGGCGAAACACACGATTACATTCGGGACATGGTGGGTGACCCAGGTGCATCAGCAAGAGCAGACTCCAAATAGATTAGAAGGGCCATGCGCAACAGAGAAAGGGGCAAACTAGAAAACCATGCGGGTAGCAAAGGAAACCGAGCGCAACAGAGGAGGCCATGCGCAACAGAAGATGCGTGTAGGGGCAAACCGGGGGGAACAATGAACCAACTCTTTAGGGACGGAGCTGGGACTCCTACCAGCAAACTTACGAGGAGAAAAACGTAAGAGTCTGTCGCTGAACATTGGAGCCAGCAGCGGCCTGTGAAAGCGGGCGAGCCCACAAACAATTTTTTTGGGGGTAGCCCCAGGAACCTCCAGGGGTCTGAGGGCCTCGGACACAGCAAGCACGCAACAACTCACTAGACAGTACAATGGCAATCTCACCGTGCCCGTGAGGTGGACCCCGACGTCCAGCCTTCCTGGGAAAGGCAGCGCCGGGTGCAGACATATACACCAAAGCCCGACAGGCGGCACATCGCCGGCAGCCACACGACAATGATTAGCGGCCGGAATCTTCAGAGCAAGTACGCAGTTCGAGGCGAGAGGAGGAGAAGGGAACCAAGGCGGAGGAGGAAAGGGGAGGAGAGGGTATAAAGCATAAAAGAGTTGTGAGCGCATGCCTCCATGATCCGAACGATCATTCATGTAACATGCGCTCTACAACACCTACACCGAAGATGTGTCACAGTCGCACATGGCACGAGGTCAGAACATACCCCATATTCCTGACATGCCGCAGTTGAAAGAACACGAAAAGGGCGGGAGGGAGGGAGGCAACAGGAGGGGCCACTCAAAGCTGGGTGCACGCACTCGCCAACTATGCATACTGGGCTCGCAAGCGGGCGCAGAAGCGCCTGGCAGCGCGAAATTGCACTGTAGCGGCTGGAAGGACGAGCCTGGGTGGCCGAAGCGGCCCAGGGTCAGCCAACAACGACTGTAAGCATCTCCGCGCACACCCGTGCAACCAGTGGCATCGAAGCTACCAATTCGGGGCAGGAGGGAGGAGGGAGAGGGGGAGGAGGAGGAGGAGGAGGAGGAGGAGGAGGAGGAGGAGGAGGAGGAGGAGGAGGAGGAGGAGGAGGAGGAGGAGGAGGAGGAGGAGAGAGACGCACGCGCCGAAAGTCGAGGCCGGGCCGCACGGCCTCCAAGGAGCCCGGACCAGTTGATACAGACAGCTTCGCCCCGCCGGCGCACTTAGCGCCGACTACCAGCCTCCTGCGGTCCAGATCTAAATCTCCGTGTGGCCGAATTCGGGGGGGAGCGAGGACGAGACAGGCAGAGGAAGAGCGGGAGGAAAGAAAAGAGAAAGGGGAGGATGGCGGTTCGAATTCGGCGGAATCGTCGACCTGTCGTCGGACCGCGACGCGGAAGGCCAGCGATTCATCATGGCCGCTCTGCGCGCGCTCGTTTTTCTTTCACGTCTCTGCAAACATGGGCGCTGTGCAAACATGGGGAGCATCGAGAAACCCTGATGCCGCCACACCTTCGCTCCTACTGGGTCCTGGGAGCACGAACGAGCATCTGGGCGCACTGTGGCCCGGAATCCATCGGCCACGCGGCCGGGACGGAAACGGACTTGATAGTTTGCCCCGCATTGTGTCGAGGAGAGTGGAGGCACAGAGGAGGCGGGGGAGAGGAGAGGGGGCGAAAGAGGAGGACAACAGCAGGTTCCCGCAAAAACTCCTGAGCAGGACGGCCTACCACGGCTTCGAAATATCGAGCCAGCCAGGCGCAACAAGTCGGCACCACCATTAAGAGGAGAGGCGAGGCGAGGAAGTAGAAGGAGGAAGGCGGCGAGAGGAGGGAACGGGGGGAACGGGGGGAGAGGGGGGGAACGGCGGGCCAATCTGCAACCTTGGGAGCACAGCTCGGGCGGGGAGGCTTTCTGCAGGCCCTGGGAGGCCCCAGAGGCCGACGCGTAACTGACCGAAACCCCTCAAAGCGCAGGCCTCGGGGGCCGGCCAGGGTACTGATGAGACCTCTTGAACTGGAGGCACGAGAAGGGTGGGCTTCCCAAGAAGGCGGGGAGCTGCGTAGAAGGCAGGAGCGTTCTTAGAAGGGCTGGGGGGCTTGTTGGCTGCATAGGAGCCGGGAGGGTTTCGAAAAAAGGACCATGCCTTCTCAGAAGCTCCCCGCCTTCTTGAAGGCCGTCCCCCTCGCGCCATCCCCTTGTGGGCGCCATCATGTATTGAAGCAACTTGCGACGCTAGATCGGGAGAGCGAGACGCTACCGATACCGCCGCTCCCGAGACCTGGACCTTTCCTGGAATGCGTCCTGGCCAGAGTGCCAAGGGACCCCAGGAGGCCTGAAAAGGCGAAAACGAGGGGAGCGCATCGGCATCGGTGCGTTTTTTCCCTGGCGGAAACCACTGCAAGCCCCCGCGGCGCCTTAAGACTTCAGAGCCCCCGAGGCCAGGTAGGACGCCTTCAGGAGGCCACGCGCGGGGGTGATGGGCGGAGCCGCACCGCTGGGCGTCCCGGGCAAAGCCGCCCGCGGCTACCTGCAGAACGTGCCCTCTGCCAGGGCGGCCTTCCAGGGGAAAGCCGCCGAGGCCACGCCCCCCGCGCATGTGGGCCCAGCGGGCAACGCTCTGCGCGCTCGGCCCGAGCCACGCCGCGCACGGAGTGCCCCGGCCGCGAGCACGCGGGCGGTCCCCAGGCCCCGCGGACAGGGCGGCCGACAACAGGCGGCGGCGATTTCGGGCGCAGGGCGCGAGATACCCTGAGCCTCTGAGGCAGACGCGAAAAACGCGTCGCAACGCCCACATGCTCGCGCGCGCGCCTCCCTTCCCAGGCACAGCCCGCTCTGCACTTGTCCCCCGATGCCTCCCGGATGCCATCGTGGCCGCTTTGTCGAAACGCTTCCTGCGGTGGCGATGGGACCCTCCACCAGGAGCCGCAGGCGATCACAGCGGGTTGGGCGGGCACTCAGCGGGTAGCATATTAGTGCGAAGGTGGACCCCATGAGAAAGGCGCGATGACGAGGGGGGCCGTACAAAGAAAACCTGTTGTACGAAAGACGCAACGAGGAATGTCTGGTATCGTTCCTGCGGGTGGAAACTACATTGTTGCAGCGGTACCCGCTCAAGGCCTGCCCCTTTTGTTCCCGCAGGGTCCTGGAAGAACCAGCCGTGCTCGGTGTTGCGGAGGGTCAACCAGCACATGACGAGCAACCTGCAGGAAGCGAGGTGCGGGGGGTAGGAGCTGGACGCTGAGAGGGGCCGAGCTTTCATCGGGAGCAGAGGCAGGACCGGGGGGGCAGGGGGGCGATCGACCGTAACTTATTGTTGTTGCTTGTGTGGATTCCCCCCGGCAGCTCGCGCACGCGGAGGGAGAGCTGAGGACACCCAAATTTAGTGGCGGAAAGCGAAGTTCAGCCTCTTCGGGCAAACCGCCCGCGCCGTGGCGTGGCGGGAGAGGTGGGTTGGGGGGAGGTGAGGGCAACCGCTCAAAACCTCGATGGATGCGGAGAGAAGGGAGAGGAGAGAGCGCCCAGCGAGGAAAGGGGGGAATCATTCCGTTTGAAGAAACGCAAGCGAAACCGCATTTTCCCCGGCAACCCGCGCACGATCCGAAGGAGGGCGGAGGGAGAGTTGAGGGCGCGCATCTTTAATTTGAAAAAGCCGAGGTCAGCCTCTTCGGGCAACCAGCCCGACGCCGCCGGCGCCCCCCCCCAAGCTCCCTCCGCGCGCCCCGGAAAAAGCGAGGGAGAGATCCACTTGGGGAACCCCTCTTGGACGCCCCCGAGGAGTGCCTCCTGATCGTGGGGCCCTGGACGGCCCTGGCCAGGTGGGGGCGGGGCACACCGTCATTGTGCCACCGCCAGGAACGAAGAACGACGAACGGAACGGCCTCTCATTTCCGGCCCGGGCCTCCAGGAACGGCCCGAAAACCAGAGCCCCATCCTGGCCGCAGATGCCCGCATCAAGGTGGTGCGGCTGCTGAAGCAACCCTCGGCCGCGAGGCACACGGAAAGCTCTGGGAAGGCCCTCCACGGGCGCGAGCAGGTTCTGTTCTGCGGCTGCGCCGCCTCGAAGCCGCCAGGCAGGGGGTCCCCCTCCCCTCCTCTGCCTCCTCTCCCTCGTCCGCACCCTTTTCCTCCTCTTCCCTCCTGCTCTCATTCACCCTCCTTCTCCCCCTCCTCCTCCTCCTCCTCCTCCTCCTCCTCCTCCTCCTCCTCCTCCTACTACTACTACTACTCCTCCTACTCCTTCTCCTTCTCCTACTCCTACTCCTACTCCTACTCCTACTCCTACTCCTACTCCTACTCCTACTCCTACTCCTCCGTCTCATCACCCTCCTCGCTCCTCCTCTCCTCTCTCTCCTCGCCCATCCCTCCTCCTCGTCCTCCTCCGTCTCTTCAATTCCTTTTCCTTATCAATAACTTCTCCCAGTTGCATCCCGAGGCAGATCGAGAGAACGGCCAGGCGTTTCGCCTGAGACTTCCTCAGCATGTATGACCTTGAAGCTGAGGAAGTGCCGATTTCAAAATGTTGCTCTCGCCTTAGCGCCGAGCGCATTCGTTTACACAGTTGCACGAGCTTCACATTTTGAGGGCGGGTGGTGTTCAAAATGCGGCTCTCGCCTTACCGACGCGCACATTCGTGCAACAAAATGCAAGGGTGTCACGGATTGAGGGCGGTTCCTTTTCAAAATGCAGCTCTCGCCTTAGCACCGCGCACATTCCTCTTTAGAAATAACAAGATTTTCACGGATTCCCATGGTCAACGGGCCAGAAATGAGGATGCAACACTTACGTTAATTCGCGGTGTTGAAGTCCCAGGAATGTCGGGGATCTTCTGACCCGGGTCAATCCAGACCCGGGTCAGCAGAAAACCAAAAACTGCAGTGCAAGAAAACAAAACTGCAACGCAGGTCTTCGCAAACCTGGGTCAACCAATATGTGCGGCCGCCTCGCGGCCACGAGCGGCTCGCTAACACGGGTCAGCTACAGGGGGTCTTCGCAGGATCCTGCAGGATCCAGTGCCCTGGCTGACCCCCGTTTGCATTGACCCCCGTCTCTTGAGCCCCGAGAATGGCGTTCTGGCACAATTCCGGATCACCAATACGCAACAGACATATTGAGCCGTGGCGTGGGAGTCCCGAGAATAATGCTTTGGCATGCTTCAGGGTCTTCAAACGGCTGTCTTCCAACGAGGCAGTTCCCTCAGTGGAAATGAATCCTTGTAGGGGCCAGCATCGTTGATGACTCTTGGGTTTACACTGGTCCTCCTCCTCCTCCTCCTCCTCCTCCTCCTCCTCCTCTTCCTCCTCCTCCTCCTCCCCCTCCCCCCCTCCTCCTCCTCCTCCTCCTCCTCCTCCTCCTCCTCCTCCTCCTCCTTCTCTGGGGGAGGACCAGGCCCCTTCCAAAAAAAGTGCCCGAAAGAGTGCTCGGAGGCACGGGAGATGTGAAGACCTTTTCGAGCGGCTTTCCAGTCACCCCACCCCCGCTGGCCCAGTGCCGACCTCCCAGGGGGTGTGACAAGAGATTCTCACCGCCCGTGCCCTCTCCGGAGGATGGTGCGTCTCGTGCGTGGAAGCGCGCGGTGTCGGCATGGACTGGATGCTGAATGCAGTTCTGTAGCTCTGCACGCTTCCAAAGCTTGCCCTGCTGACGCACCGTCTGTTGCAAGGTGAACTTGACTTGATTTGACGTGTCCTCACTGCGCCCTGCCCGCTGCCCCCTCTCGTGCCCCCTCCCTCCTGCTGCTGCCCTCTTTTCCAGACGTCGCTTGCACTCCGGCCATCATGCGCGCTCTGTCTGGGTGTCACGCCCGTGCCCCGCTGCGAGACTCTTTGGCAAGTAGTGAGTGTGTGCAGTCAGTCGCCCCCGTTTGGCGCCACCCAGCCAAGGGGGGGGGCAAAAAGCCACCACCTCGTAGGAACGCACCGTGGGCACGACCCTGTAGAGCAGAATCGAAGCACCGGGTGCCTTCGGGTCCAGAAGATTGCACCTGTGGGCGCACAACGCGCTCAGAAGAGTGCCGCTCATCAAGGCAAGCGCCACCTGAGGAAGAAGGTGACCCTGTAGGCAGCGGGGGGGAGCCCAGGGCGAGAGATGGAGGGAGTAGGCAGGACGACCGATGCAAGAGAAAGGAGGGAGAAGGAGGCGAACACAGCCGTGGCCACGAGGACGCCCTGGAGGGCCCAAAACAAATTTAAAAGGCCAGAAATCGGACGGCACCATGAAAAAGAAACGAACTATCCACCTGACCGTTTGTTCCAATCCGATCCCAGGGCACCCTGCTGGCGGCATGGCCATCAGCTCGGAACGGGCCACCTGGCCGACGAAGGGAACCGACACCTGGCGGCACCCTCCCCCTCTTCGCCAATTGTTGTCCACCTCCGTCTCTTTATACATCTCCAGTTCCTCTCTCACCGTGGGCGTCCAAGAGGGGAACACCCAACAGGGAGGGTCACAAATCATGGCTGGAAGCATGTGAGCGGACGAAGGGGGGGGAACCCAGGGACGTGTTGAATAAACAAGGCGGGGGGCCATGAAATCAGGGAGGACGTCATGGACCCAACCCTGATATCTCCCCCATTCCGTTTTCTCCACCATCGCGGCCGTCCCCGATCTCAGTCGCCCCCACTGCCCTTTGCCACGCGAGCGCGACCCAGCCTCTGAAAGACAACTTCCCGACTTCCAAACTGTGTTGCCTCCGCATCAGAGCAAGGCATCGGGGCGGTTCGGTGCCACTCTACTGAGACCTGCTGGATGGCTAAATCGCCACAACAAAGAGAGAGAAAGAGAGAGAGAGAGAGAGACAGAGATCAATCAAAAGGAGAGCGGGGGAGCGAGAGAGTCAGATATGGTATGATTTGGGGAAAGAGACAAAGAGAACGAACAGTCAACAACAACACCAACAACAACAACACCACTGACAACAACATCAACAACATTACCAACAACAGCAACAACACTCATGTTAAGACTGCTCGTTCTTATCTGCTCAAGGGTCACTCAATTCGTAGATCCCAAACCCTCGATACTCGCCCTCTTCGTCTTGGATCGTACCCCCTTGGGGGTATACATCTTTCTTACCTGCAGCGAGTATTTCGTGCAGCCCCTAAGGCAGGAGAAGAGAGGACGGATGGAAGGAAGGGGCAAGGGGGAGGGAGGAGGATTGAACACGAGAAAGAATAGCAAGGAGGGTTAGCAACAGAAAACAACCAGATGGACAGATCGGGCGGGTAGATCCTAACGGCTAACGAGCGTGTAAGATAGGCGGGCCCAAGCGGCCAGGTCGAGCAGGCGGGTTGCTGGAACGTGCGTCCTGCATGAACCGTGAGCAAGTCTGGAGCGATAGCGCGACTCCCAAATACATCGTGCGGAAATGCAAAAGCGAGGGCGTGATTCCTGAGTGTCGAGGGCGCGGCGTCCGAATAAATTGCGAGGAGGTCCCACGCGAAAGCACGATTCCTGTATACATTGTGAGGAAGTCCTGCGCGAGAGCGCGATTCGGGAATACATTGAGGAAGTGTAAAACTGGAGCCGCTGTTGTTGTACACCAGGGCTCACCAACGCAGCTTGGTGACACCTCAGTCTCCCTTGTTAAAAACAGGGTGCGAATCCCCCGAGAAACACTTTCACTAGAAAACGAAAATGGTTACCGGGCAGGGGGGATCAACAATATTTGTTTGAATGGGAAACCACAACGACGGAGAAAACTTCAACCCGACCCCTTGACGGGGCCGGGTCCACTGGTCGCACGTCACGGTGCACCCACCTTTCACTGATTACCTGGACATATTCTTAAGATGGAGGGCTTAGGGTGAAATCCACATGGACTTTGCACCCTGAAAATCAATCCATGTTGTGGTTGGGTGGTTTTCAGGGTGAAGTTAGTGTTGTGTAAAGGCCTGTGTATATGCAGCGCCTGGTTTCTGCTACGACGTCACGATTGCGCCCGCACGTGGTCAGGCACCGTTGATGGCTCGCACCTTGCCACATGTCAAACAAAGCGTTGCCACCCCGCCGATGTCACCCGCGGATTGTTCGTGCATCGACGCATCCACGCTCAGCGCATCTGCCAATGGCAGGCGGGATCGAACTCTCTTGACCTGTTATTGAATGTGTTTCCCTCTCTCTGTGGCTGGAGCAATGTAACTGATTGGCCAGGCAGGTGGTTCGCTATTGGTTAGTTGGCTCGCTGGCTGGTAGGCTGGCGGATTCACTGTTGGGCTGGATGGTTGGATGAATGGCTGGCTGGGTGGCTGGTTGACTCCCTGGGCCCCCGAACACGCGACTGGCGCCAGACACTTGCACGGGCACGCGACTGGCGCGCGGCAGGTGCACGAGCACGCGACGACTGGCACCCGATGGGTGAACGAGCGCGCGACTGGCGCCCGACAGGTTAATCCAGAATTATACAATTAGGTTTTGCGTTTTAAGATTCACTTTGTCGTTCTAGAATTGTATGGGCTGTTGTAGAACTTGATTTTGTTCGCGCTTTAAACGGTGTAAAATGATAAAACTTGGTTTCGCGATATGGAACTATTTCTGCTGTTCTAGAATTCGCTCTGCGGTTCTAGAACCTCCTTTTTCCAATCCGGAATTCGTTTTGCCGTTTGGCAGCAAACGCCGGAGAAAAACGGCGGGGGTCGGAATTCGGAGGCCCATCGCGGGGCGGCGGGGATGGCCCCGACTGGAACCCCGAGCGGGCTTCGGAGGAAAGCATGCACGAGTTCGCGGGGCCACCGCGCTCCAGCTTGGCGACTTGGGGGAGAGGTGCTTGGATTAAGAGAGGGCGACTACGATTATGGTGCTGGCAACAGCGCGGGCGCGGTGAAGGGCCAAGCGCACGCGGATCCCTGAAAATGATGCGCCCCCCCCCGCTGCCATTAGCGTTTAGCGCGGGTGGGCGGGCGATGATAAACGGTGAGGTGGAGGGGAAGAAGGGGGGAAGGGAGGCAGAGGAGGGGAAATATAAGCCCTGGAGGAGGAGGTGCAGGAGGAGGCGGAGGCAATGATGGGGGTGGAGGCGGAAGCAGGGGCGCAAGAGGCGGAGAAGGAAAGGACGCAGGAGAGGGAGAGGGAAGTTGACGGGTGGCTACGTTTCGGGAAAAACGGCATTTCAGATTTCACTCTTTGCCCTCCACCCAAATAGAATGTCGGCCCCACGTCCCCAGACCAACCGCCGGACCACCCCCTCGACGAACTGAACCACGGCCCCAACTTCCCGGACCAACCGCCGGACCACCCATCGACCGCCCGAACCGCCCGGACCAACTGGACCAACATGACCAACTGGATCAGCCGGACAACCAGACCACCCGACCTGCCAGGACAACCCGGACCAGCCAAACCATGCACCCAATTTCCGGGACCAGCCGGACCACCGCAAACCTGCTCGGACCACCCGGACCGTGCAACCGGACTACCTGGGCCACCTGCAGGACCACCCGGACCACCCGGACCACCCGGACCGAGAGGACCAACCGGACAAGCTGGACCACACGGACCAGCCGGACCAACCGAACCAACCAAACCAACCGGACCAACCGGCCCACCCGACCACCCGACTTGCCCGGACAATCCGGACCACCCGGACCACGCCCTCGGACCACCCCGACCAACGAGACCAGCCAGACCAACCGGACCAACCAGACAATCCGGACCAGCCAGACCACGCGGACCAACCAAACCACCCAGACCATCGGACCAACCAAACCACCCGCGAACCGCCCGACCTGCCTGGACCACCCGAAACATGCGCCCGGCCACCCGGACCAACCAGGGTGGGGGAACCGCATGTGGACACCCCCACTAGGGCCTACCGTGGAGCTCCCTATGGGGCCACGAAACGCTGCCCGGGGTGGGGGGACCGCATGTGGACACCCCCACTGGGGCCTTCGGTGGAGCTCCCTATGGGGCCACGGGGGAGGGGGGGTGGGGAGGAGGAGGAGGGGGAGGAGGAAGGAAGGAAGGAAGGAAGGAAGGAAGGCAGGAAGGAAGGAGACGCGGGGCGCTGTCTCTTCAAAACGAGGACCCAACACCACAGGATGGTTGGGAAAAATGGCTGCTTTCACCCGGCTCTGTCCCCCGCGGCCGCCGCCCGACGCGCTCGCCCAGGCGCCGCCCAGGGCGCGCGCGGTGCCCTTGGCTAGGTTCCCCCGAGTGGCCCGCTGCAAGCTGCACGGCGCGCGCCCGCCATCTCGGGCCTCGCGATCTGCCGCGGCGAGCGGGCTTGGCCCGCCACCGCGCGGCAGGTTCGCCGTCGCCAGCGCCATCAATGGCGCGCGCACGCTGCAGCTCGCCAGACGACGCCGGGCTTAGACATGCGGCGCGCATGACAGAGCGTTCGAAGCTCGGCTCTGGCGACCGACCTCGCGACCACTGCTGGATGTCGCCGTCGACGTCGCCCCCCAGGCACGCCGAAGACCGATCCTGAAATCGGGCAACGTCGTCGCGCGTTCCGCCGGCAGCGGGCGCCGCGGGGATGAACCGCCACGACGGGGTTATTTCGCCACCGCAAACAAAAAGAACCCCGCACCCCGCATTCTCAGACATGAAACTGCCATTGCTCGCAATTGCTGCGTAGACTTGGACGCCCGCGCCGCCCCGGCCGCTTGAAATCCCCCCCCCGCACGTTTCAGCGCCTTGGCCAGCGGCCGCGTCTCGCTTGAAGCCGACCGAGCGGAACGACACGTCGCCGCCGAGCGGGAAACCACTGCGAAATCTGCCCTGGCGCGCATCTCGCAGCGCGCTTCCCTGCACTTTCCGCGAACTGCTCCGTGGCCCGCCTCGCAGAACCCCGCGCCGCTGGCGAGGGCCTCGCCAGCCATGGTCGCAGAATCCGATCGCGCGCCGCAGTCGCGGCGCGACGGGCCGCGCCTAATCGGGGCAAGGCTGCGCCGCGCCGCGGCGTCGCCCAAGCTTGCGGAGGGGGCCCCGCTCGCGCGGGCTGCCCATGAACCTATGCTCCAGCTTGAACCGGGCCCACGTCCGCAGCGCCCCTCTGGTCGCATGCCTCAAGCGACGCAACCCTACTCGCGAATTCAAGACATCGGCCTGCTCTGCGACGTGGACCGCGGATTCTTTTGTTTTCAGAAGTTTTTGTCGCGGATGCTGAAATCTTGGGCGCCGTCCTGGATCGCGCCCTGTTTACCTAGATACTCCAGCCGCAACATCGGTCTCTTTTCTTGCAGTCAAACGCGGGCCATCCGCCCCATGATAATGTTCAACACCGCTGCATCATGAACTCGTCGCCAGGATCCCTCGAAGTTAATCGTACCCAGAGGGTGCCCACAGCTCATGTCCATATAGGCCGAACTTTCGATTGGGATACCATCGGCCACTTG